ACTTCCTTTACAAACAGTGGTATCAAGGAGAAATCAGTCAACCATCGTCAACGAAAAACTTCAGCAGACATGTACGGACCAGCGATAACAGAAATAATATTAACAACATCACTGTGAGTTATTTTATCTTTTATCAATATTTATTTATTTATTTTTGCATATACGTTATTTTTATATTCTTTAATTATAAATAAGTAATTTATGTCGATAAGTTTTAGTAATAGTGACGATAGCAATTCTGACTCTAATGAATTTGACCCTGATTTTGTCCCTAGTAGAACACGTTCTGTACCCATTGACCCTACAAATAAACCGATAACCAGATCACGAAATAAAGAAAAAATAACAATTTAGGTACTTCTGACACCCTGATGCTATTAGATTTAAGTTCCAATAGCACTACTGAAATAACAAACGACAATATGAGTACTAAACCAATAACAACATTATCTCTAGAAACAGCAATAAATTTAATACCTAAATTTAATGGGGAGAAATCACAAGAGGTGTACCCATTTTTAAACACATGCGACTTCGTAACAAAAATGATTAGTGAGGACTGTCGTCCCATTCTTTTACAAGCAATTTTAACCAAATTATCGGGTAAAGCCTTTGCGGCGACACAACACAGAGAAATTTTATTATGGGAGCTATAAAAAAAAGTTGTTAGAAATAACATTTTGTGCACAAAGAACCCCGGGATATTTACAGTTAGAGTTATCAACCACTAAACACAAATCAGGCGAAACCGTGCAAGAATATTTTGCTAGAGTATAAAAGCTCTTACATGATTTATGTAATGTGAGTACAAGTGGGAGATCCCTCACCGATGTTAGGGCGTTCACGAATACATAAAAGAAACAACTGTAACGACGTATATAGAAGGATTACCATCCATTATTCGAGTTGTAATAAAGTCAAAGAATCACCGAATTTTGGAAGAAGCTATAAAAGATAGCCTTGAAGAAGATAAAATTTATCAGAGCGCAACGCTTGTTGAACAACAGACCTAGTCACAATGTCAGTACCAAATATTGTAAAAACTGTTGTAGAAACAATCATAATACAAATGAGTGCAGGTATTCAAGTCGCAGAATAGACACGGGTCAACCAAATAAGTACAATAGGGAAAACAATGATCAAAAGAGTGAAAATAATAATCAAACAAAACACTGCATGTACTGTAAAAAATCAGGTCATGTTGAAATAGAATGTTACGAGAAAAAAAATGCAGAGACAAGAAAAGAAAATCAACATTTTCGAAATCAGCCGTCCACATCGGGAAACGTTTCAGGACTGAACGTAACGGGCAACCGTTCGGTTCGAGAACTCAAAATAATCGCCCAAAATTAAACGTCTTCAATTTTACAGTAAAGTTGAAGAACAATCACGCCACATGCGGAATTCCACAATGCACACAAGGTGTGGCAAATCTATTAGTGGTCACGGGTTCGGAACTAAATCTTATTAAACTGAATAAACTTCAAGATGATGTTATGGTAACAAGTACGAAAATATATAAAATGCAAGGTATCAGTGATAAATTAGTTGATACTCTAGGGAGCACAATTTTAACGGTGTCATTAGATGATGAAAGCTACAAAACTGAGTTTCAGGTAGTTGACTCATCATTTCCGATAGACGGTGATGGCATATTGGGAAACCCATTCCTTAGGGCTAATAAGCTAATAATCGATGTAGGAAGGGATGAGTTAACTTCTAAATCAGAAGAAATACACACCATACCGGCTCGTTGCGAATTAATTATTCAAATACAAGTAGACACTTATGACAAATCAGGTCAAAATGTGCTTATTCACGCGCAAGAATTGGACAAAAACATTTTATGTGGAAATCTACTGAATATTATCAAAAATAATCAAATTCTTATTAATGTCATGAACCCTACAGAAATATCTCAAGAAATACTAATACCAAAACTTACAGACTTATCGCATGAAGTATTCGATTTAGATTCAATAAATAACACTCGTTCGGTAAGAGAATATAATAACACAGAAAATCGCCTTCAAATCTTAAAGGACACGCTTAGTTGTGACCACATGAACCACGAAGAAAAAGAAATGATTCTAGAACATGCAGCGAATATGCAGACATTTTCTTCTTAGAAGGAGATACAATCAATTGCACAGAAGCGATACAGCATGAAATAAAGACCCCAAATGGTACCCAACCGATTTATCAAAAACCGTATCGTCTTCCTTATGTACGAAAAGAAAAGATAAACGAACAAATCGATCAATTAGAACAGAATGGAATCATAATTCCCAGTGAGAGCCCCTGGAATGCCCCATTACTAATTGTACCAAAGAAGGCGGACGCTTCAGGAAATAAAAAATACAGAGTTGTAGTAGACTTTAGGAAGCTGAATAATATCACAATAGGTAATGCATTTCCTATGCCCGACATAACATCAATACTAGATCAACTAGGTAAAGCAAAATATTTTTCTTGCCTTGATTTAGCTTGTGGATACCATCAGATCCCAATTCATCCAATAGATATGGAAAAAAACAGCTTTCAGTACAGAAAAATGCCATTATGAGTTCAAAACAATGTGTTTTGTCTTGAAAGGAGCCCCGGCGACATTCCAAAAATTGATGAATAGAGTACTGAATGGGATCAATGGATCAAGAGCATTTGTCTATTTAGATGACATAATAGTCATCAACACAACTTTGAAAGAACATATAATCCGGTTACGAGAAGTCTTTGATAGACTACGGAAATTTAACTGACAACTCCAACCTCCAAAATGCGAATTTTTGAGGAATGAAGTAAATTACCTTGGACACGTAATCACTGAAAACGGAGTAAAGCCGGATCCAAAAAAAAATAGAATGTTTAGTCAATTACCCACTGCCTACAAACGCTAAGGAAGTCAAATCTTTTCTTGGATTAGTAGGGTATTACCGGAAATTTATTAAAGACTTTAGTTAAAAAGCTAAACCTCTCACAAGTCTATTAAAACAAAATCAACCATTCATCTGGTCGGATATTTGCCAGGATTCTTTTATTTTTTTCAAAAACATTCTAATAAACGAACCATTGCTTCAATACCCAGATTTTAACCAGCCATTCAATATCACAACGGATGCAAGTAATGTTGCGATCGGTGCCATCCTTTCACAAGGAAAAATCGGGTCAGACTTACCAATAGCTTATGTATCACGTACATTAAACAAGGCTGAAACTAACTATAACACAACCGAAAAGGAGTTATTAGCAATAATATGGGCTACAAAACAATTTCGACAGTATATTTATGGACGTAAATTCAATATTATAACGAATCATAAACCGTTATCTTGGCTTTTTGGAGTGAAAGACCCAGGAGCGCGACAGACAAGGTGGAGGCTCCAACTAGAAGAGTTCGATTATGACATTATATATAAACCAGGCATACAAAACACTAATTCAGACGCTTTGAGTAGAATAACAGTCACAAGCGTACCACAGAAGTCTGAAACACCAAATGAATATCATAAATATCTAGAAGACGTACAAACAAAATTAATAACAAATTCGAACGTTACAGAAATAGAAGGGAATTTATTTGAATCACCATCGGATTATGCCATTGGGCACTGTGTATCAAAGAATTTTAAAATGTCAGAAGGCATTAGCCTAGAATTTAGGCGAAAATTTGGAAAGATTGATCAATTAATACAACTAAATAAGCAAGTGACTGAAATTGTTTTCCTCCAGGAAAATCAACTTTATATTTTATATATAATCACCAAGGAGTGGCATACTCAGAAACCAACATATGAAACAATGTTTTTTGCCATGAAGAATTTACGAAGATTTTGTGAATCTCATAACATAAAAAAAGTAGCTCTTCCCAAAATCGGTAACGGTTGCGATCTACTAGATTGGGAACAAGTGCGTACGACTATACGATATGTTTTTAAGAACTCTGATATCAAAATACTCATCTATAGTATTGACACTTACTCAGAGGAAGAAAAAACACAATATTATCGAGGAGTTTCATCTATCACCGTTGGGAGGTCACCAAGGTGTATCTCGTACCATTAAAAGAATTAAGCAACATCATAACTGGAAAAACCTGAAGAAGGACGTGATAGAATATAAAAAAAATAATGTGAATCATGTAAAATAAATAAAAACGATAATCACATAGTAAAACAACCCATGATAATAACGTCGACAGCGAACAAACCATTTGAAAAAGTTTGCCTGGATATAGTAGGACCATTGGAAACTACGCAGAAAGGGAATTCGTGTACATTAACGATTCAAGACGACCTATCAAAATTCTCTGTAGCTATACCATTGCCGAACCATACAGCAAATACAATAGCAAGAGCTTTTGTCGAATATTTTATCTGTCATCATGGTCTACCTGAATCAGTATTGACTGATCAAGGACCGGTTTCATGAGTAAAATCTTTAAAGAGTGTCGTAAACTACTGAAAATCAAGAAAATCAATACAACAGCGTACCATCCACAGTCAAACGGTGCACTGGAACGATCACATCGCACGTTAGCGGAATATTTACGTCACTATGTAGATGAAAAGAAACAGAATTGGGACGATTTTATTCCATATGCGATGTTCACGTATAACAGTACCGTACATTCATCCACAAAGTTTCAACCTCATGAACTCGTTTACGGACATTCGCTAGAGGTTCCTCATACACTATCTCGTAACCCTCAACCATACTATAATTACGAAGATTATACATTCGAACTCCGTAGAAAAAATGCAAAAATCCTCTTTAATATCTAGGGAAAACCTTATAAACAATAAAGAAAAGGCCAAAATTGGATATGACAAAAACCGAAACGAAATAAAAATCGACGTAGGAGATAAAGTCTTCATTAAAAATCATGTACGCAAGGGTAAGTTGAGCCCTAAATGGTTAGGACCTTACGAAATATTAAGCCTAGAAGAAAACGAAAACGTTTTGATTAAACGTGGGCGTAGAGAAGTTAGACTTCATAAAAACGAGCTAAAAAAGTATCACCCGTAAAGTTGTACCGAAACTAACTTTTATATACATATAGACTTATATTTTATACAAAATTATACAAAATTCCTAAATAATTTTAATGTATAGCAAGCATCGGTTCAATATTATACCAATTCTGTTATTTCTTTCAGAACTATTTCGATTGGAAAAGCAGAAAAGAATTACTTCAACATTACACTAATCGTTAATCCATCAGGGATTTATTTCCATTCAATTAATAATTTACGTGTTCATAATTCCTATTGACGATTTCTTACTTATGTTAATATTACAAACTATGTTGAAAAAACACCATAAAATCAATAACATGATTAATCAAATCGGGAAGTCTTGTGAACTAGGAAAGTCTCTCGAAATTCAATCGGTACAACATACTTGCAATCAGTACAAATATCAGGCTAACAATTTTTTAGCAGAAATAAGTAATAATATAGAGCACGTTATGAGAGTTATAGAATCTCCGAAAGAAAAATATCGTAACAAAAGAGGTCTAGTAAACATAGTTGGCAGAGTAGCAAACGTCCTATTTGGAATTTGCGACGATGTTGACGCAGAATATTTTTATGATAAAATTAAGGAACTGGAAATTTCAAAATCACGTATTTCAGGATTAACTGAAACCCAAACTCAAATCATGCAATCAATAATATCAAATGTATACTCGTCCTTGGTAGAGATGGAAAAAGTACAAGTAAACCTAGTCGATAAATATAATTATTTAGTTCACGAAATACAAATAGAAAAAGTCCATATATGCTTCTTAGAGTTCCAAACAGCTCTAGAGGAACAAGTATTATTATTAAATCTAATTTTAACACAATACGCGTTTGAAACCGAAAACCTAGTTAGCATTATAAATATGGCTATTCAAGGCCTCGTTCACTTTAGTATATTAGACGTCAAAACGCTCAAAAACCAAATAAAAGATGTTAAAACACAATTACCTGTTGGGGAAGGTATCCCAATTAATTTAGACGATTCTGGAGTTTCAGAGTTGCTTCGACTCACTACAACTAACGTTGTTTGTATAAAAGATATACTAATTTTTAATATGGAAATACCTTTAGTCAATAGTTACAAATTTTTATTATATAAGACAATATCTTTACCGATTAATTTGCTTAATAATACATATGTAGCAATTGTACCTTCGACTCATTACATAGCGATAGAAAAAATCTAGACTATACTACATAGAATACAATGAAATACAATTATCAAAATGTAAACAAATAACAAAAACGTTAGTATATCCATATGATCAACAGCTACATCATTTAGATAATTCATGTGAATTAATGATATTCAGAAAACCCGGTGTAATACCTGACTCATGTAACTTAAGAAATGTTAATTTTAATTTCAGTATTTGGCATAGACTAGAAAACACAAATTCGTGGATATATATTACAGTTAAAGATAATATTATTGTCAAATGTAAAGATATATCTGAAGGAGAGATCGTAAATGTAAATGGTATGGGAATCATAGAATTAAGTAATCAATGTCAGGCCAATACGAATGATGGCACATTGCTAATATCGCAGAAAAAAAGTAACAACGAAAGTATATAAAGATATTATCCCACAGTTAAACGTGTCAATTAACCTCCAAATTCCATTAATCGATAGAAACATAGTTTCAGATAAATTAATGATTTTAAATAATAACAAATCTATTATAAAAAATAATTTAAATAAACTATTGGAATATTCAAATTCTTTAGAAAATATAAGACAATTATCAACAAATAATGACACGACGATAAAAAATGAACAACAATTTTTACATAATATTGGGAACTGTCATCATAAGTATGGGCTTATTAATAGTTTTAAGTTTATACATTAAGTTTAAAAAATACATGTAGCAGAATTAAAAATTCCATAGAGGAAACAATAGTAAATAAGATATACGAAGATGTAAACACACCTAACTGTGAAAGTCCATTGCCTAGGATAGTTTAACTTTTCAATAGACAATGAACTTTCATTTGGTGCTGGGGGTGTTATGTGCACTACAGCATATTATAGTATATTATTATTATACTTATTATTATTATTATTATTATTAAGTATGTATATGTTAATATGTGGGGACAAATGCTGACTATGCGTTTGTCCATTTTATACATACACGCCTGACCACCCGTTATCGAGCAGTCAGTCGTGTAACAACCAAGCAATTGTAAAATCGTTCTTTCTATATTATAATTTTCAGCGACTCAATAAAATAAATACTTTTAATAAAATTGTTGAATTGAGAACTTCCTCGTGGTGTTTTTTTTTCTAAAGTGCGAACTTAAAAAACATTACTGTAGTGCCGACGGACTCTACCGAGTTTACCCGATTTGGCATACAACACCTGTATGATTTGGAAAAATAAATCAAAGTGAATGTACTTAACATAATTTAAAGATACAATTAAAAGATAGTCGCACGATAGACTTGATAAAATATGTGAACAAAAGAATTATAAAAAGTGTTGCATATAAATTGATTTTTAAATTTTACAACTGTTTGTGAAAATAAAAATATCAAAAAAAAGTCAATTACATTTCATCTCAATGAAAACATCCCATAGCTCTCTCATAATATTTTATGGTAAAGCAAATAAAAATGAATGTAATAAATAAATTTTAAAAACACATTCAAAGCATATATTGTACAAAGAAAATAATTTACACAAATGGTAAAACTTACTGTTAATATACAGTTATGATTTGATTTAATACGTTTTATTTTTCATTTAGGCATTTCCATTAGTCTATGCCCTTTTGAGGAGTGAAACACAAGAAACTTACTCTTCATTATTAACAGTAATACACAATATTTTACCTCTTCGTTATAATAGAATCAGTTTTGTCACTGATTATGTACGAGCTCTTATGAATGCTATCAGTGAAGTATTTCCAAATAGTCAATTAGTATGTTGTTGGTTTCATTATACAAAGGTAAATAGCATTTTATTATGATAATACCTGCCAGATAAACTAATATGTATTTTAGATATTTTATTTTGGATATAATATTACATATAATTTAATTTTATTATCCAATATTTTCTAAATTTGCTTCAACTGCGCTATTGCCTTGACATACTTAATCTGGTGTTGAGTAGTTTTAATAATTATTACTTCAAATACTATTACTCATTGTTTATGAATGTATTGTTATAAATCTTAATTGTATGTCTAATATGTATGCTTAATTAATTGTATGTTAGTCATACTCGCATGATAATAAAATGTTTTTTTAATTGTTAACCCTAAAATATACTAATATTTTAATTTTTTTCAACAGAAAAGCTGATTGTTGATTGTTGTTGAGAATCAGTTCTTTATAAAATTTCAACAGTGCAAAAATGGCTTTAAAGTAATAATTTGATTTTTTTTTTTTTTTATACATATAATTAGTTTTTTGTGTTTCAATTATGGTTAATTTCTTTAAATTGTATGTACTTTACTAGGTTAGAAATTAAATGTGCAAAAATGAGAGGGAAAATACATCTATAATGATAATAGAATGCGTACAGCAGCTGAATCAAGACGGTGACTTATTGATGTTTTTGAGGAGAACTGGTCACCGTAATGATGGTTATGTTCAACGACAAATTCGGCCGTATCCTAATATATTATAAAATATTACAATCTTATTGTTTTATATATTGTAAACTAATTTTATTATTGTTTTTTTTTACCTTGTAATATGTACAAATAGTTATTGTTAAATCAAGTTGACTATTATACACATGTTTTTTTTTACTTTAAAGTAATATTTCTTCAGTATTTCTGTTGCATCGTGCGAGGAGTGTGTCAAGTCAAAATAAAGTGCTACGCATGAGTGCTAAAAGCTGACTGGTTTTATTTTATCATGAACATATAGCCGCTATTGTAGATAACAAATAATCAGTTATAGGCTATAGCTAAATGTAACATCTCCCTTTTTATATATATATATATATATATATATAATCAAAATACAAATTACAAATTAAACTTACAAATGTAAAAAAAACATAATAATAATTATAAATTAAGCTTAGTTGGAGGTACAATACGTCGCTTACGTATCCAACTAGGCTTCAAAACAACGTTATTATCTTTATACCAATTATACCTGAGCTGTTTACCGGCAGGCCTTAAATGTACAATATTTCGTCGTTTCTTATTACCCGTGTCATCACTGAAAACATATGATCTAGGCGTATTATATTTATTGATGATTTTACCTTGCTTCCACGTTTTAGTTAATAGATCTCTAAACATAATTTTTTGGCTCGGTTGAAAATCATTATTATTTTTAACTTTGGCATTTCTATCGTAATATAGTTTTGTTTTTATATTCTTATTTTCACGTATTAAATTAAAATTATTTACTAAAGTAGGCTTTAGAGAGTTGTTTAAGATTGGAATTTTCGATCTTAAAATGCGACTCATTAAAGTTGTGCTGGGGAAAACTTAAGAGCCAATAATAGCACTGTTACGATATTCTAACAACATTAGTTGCTTATCAACTTTACCTTCATCCGATCTTTTTAGTATTGATTTCGCAATACTTACACCTTTTTCCGCAAGTCCATTAGCTTTTGGGTATCTAGGGCTTGACGTAGTTAAAACAAATTCCCAATCAGTCGCAAAATTCTGAAATTCGTTAGAATTAAAAGGCATATTGTCTGCCACAAGTTGCTTTGGAATCCCGTGTATCGAAAAAATAACTTTTAGTATTTTAATTATTTGACTTGAGGTTTTAGAAGATAAATAATTTAATTCAAGCCAACCGGAATAGTAATCAACTAGTACTAGGTAAGTATCTTTCCCATAATCCAAAATATCACATGCAACTTTCTCAAAAGGTAGATTAGGATCTTCTTGACATATCATAGGGTCTTTAGTATTCTCGCTCCTAAATTTATTACATACTGCACAGTTACCAATATATTCCTCGATATCTTTATCTAAACCTTTCCAATAAAATAAAGAACGTGCTCTCGTTTTAGTTTTACAAATTCCAAGATGAACTTCGTGTAGTTTAAATAAAATTCTATTCTGTAACCTCATAGGGACAAACACACGATTATTAAGAAAAAGTAAATCGTCCTCAAATGATATTTGGTAACGCATATTAAAGTATGGTTTAAGCTCACGCGAGACCTTATTGTTTTGGTTAGCCAGCCAGGCCAGCCATTCTTGCACACGTATACAAATCGTTTTAATAAATCATCTTTAATTGTTTCGTGTACAAACTCATTTCGAATATTTGTAGACATATAATTGAATGGACTACATTGGAGACATCGATATCAACATCGTTATCTTGAGACGATATACACGCTCGACTTAGTGCATCTGCGATAAACATTTTTTTTCCCGGTACATGTATAAGATTAATATCATATCGTGATAACTTGACCTTAATGCATTGAAGTCTTTTAGACGGAATGTCGTTTATGTTCTTTTTCATTAGCGAAATTAAAGGAAGGTGATCTGTTTGAACTGTCACACGCCTACAATAAATAAAATGATGAAATACCTTACACGCAAATAAGACTGACAGAAATTCCTTATCAACCTGTCCGTAGTTAATTTTGGTTTCAGATAAGCTTTTCGATTTAAAACAGACTGGTCTGCCTTCTTGTAACAAAACACATCCAATGGCAAATTTACTACTATCTGTCTATATAATCACTTCTTTTGTGTTATCATAGTTTCTAAGTACAGAGGGACTAGCAATTATTGTTTTAAGTTTATTTACACACTCATTATGTATTGATGTCCATACAAACTCATTATTCTTTTTAATAAGATCTCTTAGTGATTTAGTCAACATTGCCAGATTAGGAATAAAATTTCCGACATAATTAACCATACCTAAGAATCTTTGTAAATCTTTTATAGTTTTTGGTATCTCATACTCGAAAATAGATTTAATACGATCACCATCTAATTTCATGCCTTCATATGAAAATATATGTCCAAGATAATTAACTTTATCTACCTTATATTGAATTTTGTTTTTATTAAATTTAATAATATTTTTCATAGCCAAATCCAAAACCTGTTTTAATGCACAATCATGTTGAGCCTCAGTGTCACCAAAAATTAAAATATCATCAAGATATATAAATACATTTTCAATACCTCCAAACACTTTCATATTCCATTTTTGACATATTTCAGCTGCATTATTTATTCCAAAAGGAAGTCTATTAAAACAAAAAGTACCAAACATAGTACCAAACGTACATAATTTAGAACTCTCTAAATCTAATTTTATTTGCCAAAAACCATCTTTCAAATCAAAAACAGAAAAGACCTTTGCATTTTTCAGTTTTGACGATAAGTCTGATAATGTAGGGATTGCACAATATTCACGAATTATATTTTCATTTAGATCGCATGGATCAAGACATAATCTCATACTCCCATTTTTCTTTTCAACAATCACTAATCTATTTACCCACTCAGTCGGCTCATTTATTTCTCTAATTATTTTTTCTGACACTAATCGACATAGGCGGAACTAGACATTTTAATTAGACTGGGCCACTCATGAAAGTCATTTTTCACCTATCATACTCAAAAGAAATAAGGGTGGAGAGTGATATATGGAACATTAATGTTTTTTTTTATTACAATACAACTGTATAACATAGGTAATTATTGATGTTATAAATCTAAAATTGTATCACTTATAAGTTATAATATAAACTAAAATGTTACATGTGAAATACAGATACTAATAATATTTAAAATTGTATCTTAAAGTTAAGACTTATAAAGCTAAACGACGTTCATATGGGACCATTCTTTTAAATTCTTCGATCACATCATTAATGTCGACATTTTTTGCCATGGTTTGTTCAATATATGGAAGCATTAAATTTTCCAATCGCCCTTGAGTCATTATCGTCCGTAGCTTAGTTTTAATATGTGTTAGCTTCGAAAAAGCTCTTTCACACGAAGCACTTGTGACTGGTATGACAGAGAAACCTTTTAATACTTTTCTATGCTGAAAAAAAATGGTTTCAATACCATTTTCTCGTAACCATTTTAACCAAAATGCACAGTCTTTATTAGTAAGAATATCATCTTTGTTTCGTGCCTTCAAAAGATGTATTTCACTTACAAATTCGTCCTTTGATAAATCAAAATGATTTGTCAATAAATTAATGTCATCTTTGCTCAATTCAAATTTTAACATTTTCCCCACACCAGTAATGATTGAAATGCTTTCTTGATTAAAACGTTCGTCAATTCCTTGTACTAATGAATCAATCAATGGATACATTGTAGAAACTCGGATTTCCTCTTTCTTGGTCTCAAATACAAACTGATTTTTTCAATTTTCATCTCTACGTGCAGGCAGTTTTCTAGGTCTGACTGATGGTATGTTTTCGCCATGTTCTTCACAAATGTGCTGACTTTGATCATAAATATCATCATAAAATAAACTATCGGAACGCATATTTTCTATTGCCAAACGAAGACACTTAATCTCTTCCAAAGCTGTCAAAATACTTAATCTGGGATCTTGAAGTACTCTACTAACTTTTACAATCAACTGTAGAATAGGATGCATCAGTTCGAGACAGATGATAAAATTAAAATTTAAGCATTGGGAAATAATACCCTTTCCTTTAGCTTTTATTTCTGGTTGCTTGGTTGAATAATTTATTTCATTAACTGTCTGAATTATAACCGAGAAGTTGTCTCGAATTGCTGTTACAGCTTCTGCCCTACAAGTCCATCTAGTTGTTGAAAGGGATTTTAAAGTCTTAAATTTTACACCAACACTTTTTTGAATTTTTTCAAAAACCGCGTGTCGAGATGGACTGCCTTCAATAAAATTGTATATTATTTGAACTGTTCCAAAAAAATCAAAAATCATACTATTCTCTTTACGCGAAATGCAAGAATCTACAAGTACAAGGTTTAAGCAATGAGCAAAACAGTGTACGTATAATATTTTAGAGTTTTTTTCTTTACATCGGAATTGAACTCCAGAAATATGACCTGCCATTGCGGCTGCGCCGTCGAAACAAACGAAAGAAACAGAGAGCCAATCGAGTTTTAACTTATGGACTATTGTGTTTAAAACATTAAAAATGGATTGTGCATCAGTAGTTTCTAGACGCTCCAGAGAGATGAATAATTCGATAGGTTTATTTTCTACATCATCAAAATATCTTACTACGATTGCCATTTGCTCAATGAGACCACAGTCACTGGTCTCATCAGCCATAACTGCAATCTGTTGACCATTTAACCTCTTGCATATTTCTTGAAACATCACATTATGAACTGAGGCTATTAATTCATTTTGAATCTTTCCACTCAAATATTGTGCGTTCTTAGGCCCATGTTCTAAATGATTTTTCATAATAGGATCGTATCGTTTGAGTAGATCTACGATTTCTAAAAATAGTCCTTTATTCACACTATCTTCATGCTCAAGATGTCCTCTGAATGAACTTCCGCTTTTGGTTAATATAATTATAACATCAATTAAACGTTTGATGATATCCCGGTTTTCTAAACGTATTTTTTTCACGAGCTGCTAATGTGATTTCTTTTTGTTTATCCAACTTAACATCAATGGGAATTCCTTTTTTTTAAATGTTCCCACGACATCACACTATCAAAATGACATTGTGACTTCTCGTGTAGTCTAAAAGCTTCAGTGGCACCTTTCCAATTAGTAAAACCTTTCTTTATAAACGATTGATTGATATGACCTTTTTTAATTATATTATTCGAAGAGAATGCTCGACAACAAAAACAAAATGCTGCGTTTATACTTTCACTGTATTCTAACCATTTAAAAGTTTCGTACCATGATTTTTGAAAAGAACGAAATCGATCCCCGAATTTTACTCTTGGATAAAGAGATAAGTGGACTTGGCAGGGCCCTTTGAGTAATTTTGAGTGTCTTTCTAAACGATCAGATGGTAATGGTAAAGCTGGGTCTTTATGTTCAATGAAAGATGTTTGCAACTTCAAATTTTCGGATTTCAAATGATCAGAAGGCAATGCAATTGCTGTGGTATTTTGAACTTCAACAGTTTTTAAATTGGAATTTACTGATTCCTTGTTTGGACTTTTTCGGATGATATATCTAAAAACCAACCAATATATAGATTTTAGAATATATTATGCCTGTCCTAGACAATTCTGTATATTATTAAACAATTTATAAAATCGTTTTATATTGTAATATGGACAAGATTAGAATCAATATTAGTTTATACAATTTTATAACTAGGGCGCGGATTTTTATGTAATAAAAGTCAAAATATGTTAATATTTATGATTTTTTTTTTTAGCAAAATATGTATTAAAAAACTTGAAATATTTTTTTTTTTTTTTTTGTTAGTAATATAATATAATAGAACTAGTAATTCAATTGTGAACAACTGTGCAAAATGAATAAGTAATAAATAATGAATAATAATGTTACATTTTACACTTATGTTACATATATTGTACTGTTTTATTATCAATAACACTAAAAATAAAATAATTAAAATGGTTTTTACTATAAAATGATTGTAGTTCTTAAAAGGCTTAACTGCTGTTAGTCTGTATGCAATAATTTTTATTTAAAACAGTATTGAATTGGGATAAACTTAAAAATGAAATTTTAGATAGAAAGTCTACTGACAATTGATTTAAATTTAAATAGTTAGGTGAACAGGAAGGAGAAGTGAATTGCCATTTTAAGTTTGGCGTATTATAATCACCTTATAAAATTATATTTTTAACATAGGGATAGGAAATGAATAGATCATTAATATTATTGAACTTTTTAGTGTATAACGTTATAGGTGGGCGAGGAAGAAAATAAGTATTACCTAAAATATAGTAAACGAAATTAATTTTGACAATAACAAATAAATGTTCTACGGAACAGGGAGGTAAGGGTAACATATAAGAATAGTATTTATTATTTATTGCAATTAGCACATCACCACCTCTTGAACAATCACATATTGTATCACAAATACTCTAAATAAATAATCTAAGCAGATGTGAATAATTAAAGTAGAAATTTAATTTATTTTAACAATTTTCTTTTAAATATGACAAACAATTAGAAATTTTACATTTTCATACGCGTTTTGTCGATCATCTGATGACCTTACGAACATTTTTCACGTAGATCTACTTATAGTATTTTATAGTATGGCCTGTCGTATACGCCACGCAAAGGCTTGACATATAACAGATATATTTCGATTATTGAGTCTCAGGCCGTCAAAGAATAAATATCGATACCTTTCGGTTAAAACTTATTAAATTCTCCTTTTGGTGACCACGATAACAGGATAAGTACAGAAACATCTTGTTACTTTACAAAAGTGTTTTATCACCACAAACGCTTCAGTACACACACTAAGATTTGATTCTCCCAATTTACTAGGAAAAAAATGACAAAACAAACATTTTATAGTTTAAAATCAAATTAGATCATAATAACTTCAAAGTCTCACAATAAAAGACACAATTTACTTTTAAATAAAAACTTGTCGTTAGCCGCAACACCCCGCAATCATTTATTTTTGCCTCGTATGTATAATATTTTGTGAACATTCATATATGGAATAACAGACCGGTTTTTAATTTTTTCAAAAACATTGGTTTTGAAATTTGAATTTGAAAATAAATAAATTTGAAATTCAGGGATTTTTTTGTTATTATGTTAATGACACTGTAGAGGTTGGATTGGAGAGAATTTTTCTTTTGGACGTTGGCATCAATGAATTTGAAAACTTCATTTTTATCTCTTATCAATGAGGAGAACTGACCTAGGCCCAAGGTTTATAGATAATAAAGGTTGCCTCATAATCACAAAGCATTCCCCCCCGCAGTGGCTTATTAAGCATGACGTCGTCCGTAGGAGAGTTTCGCAGGCGGCTGTGATGTGTATGTACATACAATGCTTAATATTCATACTTACTGCTATACTTGTCCGCTAATTAATGTGAATTTGTGTTTTACATGTGTTTATTACAATGTTATTAGTGTACCTACCTATAATATTGTTGGTTGTAATATTTCATTCGGATCAACAATCTTTGTTTTACATACGATTGAATTACAGGTTTATATTTTTGTTCAATTTCAGTTCTTTTGAAAATCCTATCTGTTAGCCTTTTAACTACTCCTGATCATTTAGGGATAAGTTGCTTTGTAATTTTTTTATAATATTTTACTGTATTCACTATTGTAAACAAATAATGTCTCCTACGGGAGACGTCACGTTCCGATTTCTCCCACTCCTGCTTTTTGATATTTTCAATATGAGGCAACCTTTATTATCTATAAACCTTGACCTAAGCCCACAGATATGTCTAATAAACTCACAGATATCTATATTATACTAGATGACGAACTTCCGATATCACTAGAAGCACGCATTGATTATGTTATCATTTGTCCGCCATGTTTTGGGTTGGCAAAATATTGTATCAACACTATTCCCCACACCTCACAATATTAATTATACACTATTTAGTAACTAATATTTATTAAATATGCCTTTTTCTTATGTTGCATACGGTTGTTAAAATCGCTTTAAAAGTAATTCCTCAATTCACTTTTTTCGGTACGTATGAAGTATAGATAATATGATTTAAAAACACCTCAACATTTACATTTTTAATTGCAACGTATATTCTGTACATTTTCTGTAACTGTATATTCTCAATTAGCTGAAACATTCCAGCCTCATTCGTGCACCGATCCCGAAAACGATACAATTATTGAAATTCAACAATTTCTATCAGCTTCGCTACCTATGTCGCTACCTGCAAAACCCATCTTTCCTGGTGAAATGCAGTATATAATTAAAAAATTACCTCCCGGCAAGGCACCTGGAAATGACCTCATTATAAACAAAATTCTGAAAAATCTGTCTCTCGAATATTATTATTGCTCACCTACATATATAATTCTATGCTAAGATTTTCCCACTTCTCTAAAATCTGGAAATTTGCAGTCATTATACTTGTACACAAACCAAATAAACCTAACACTTATCTTCGTCATACCGTCCCATAAGTTTACTTCCAGTCTTTGGTAAACTTTTCGAAAAGGCCCTCCTGAAAAGATTACGTCCCATCCTTCAAAACAACCATATCATACCGACTAATTAGTTTGGTTTTTGAAACAGGCACTCAACAATCCATCAAGTTCATCGTCTTACTGATGAAATCTCAACTGCTCTCGAAAATAAAGAATACTGTTCTGGACTTTTTTTAGATATTGCTCAAGCATTCGATAAAGTCT